ATTGCATTAAATAATCCTTACATCATTCGCCAGTTGATTGTGTATCGTTGAAAAAATCGCAATATCTCTAGATACATCTCTACTCACATCCTGCCCGATGAGAACAACAATATTGCAGTTTCTTTCGTTAGCAAATTTTTCAATTACTTCTTTCGCACCTTCTCGCATAAGAAAATTCTAAAATTTGGTATAAATTATTATAAATTAATTTAAAAGAATCAATTCAATAATATTATTAATAAATTCAAAAATTAACCTCGACCAGAAGGGAAAATCCTACAAGGGGTATCCCATTCGTTACTTTCAGATCCTTAATCATGAGTTCGTCAAGAGTTAATTCACTGATATCTGTTTTTGCGTGCATAATCTTCTTAAATGTTTCGGTTCTGTCAGTCATAAAACTTAGCTCAAGAGCATTTACTACATCAATATCAGTAGCAGTTGTTCTACCAGCCTCATCCGACATATTATAAGTATCAACCAATATTGGACCTGTAAAAGATATGTTTTGTAAAAACAATAAAAGCAAATTATGTCTATCAATAAGAATCTATTATACACTTGCCTCGTAAAAGACTGGAAAGTTGAGCATCCAGTATATCAGGATTCTTTCGCAGAGCATTACGTGCGACAAGAGTGGCACAGCTTCCAACAGTTTCTATGTTTAACTGAACATTAGGCCATGACCAAGCTGGATCTAGTGGTCGATGATCAATAATTGTTATGACTGAAGGTTTCAATGCAATATCTTCGCTCATGAGAGTATGATGATCGACTAAAATCAGCTCCAGCTTTTTGTTGGCATCATTCTGTATATTTTGCAAATCAATCTGATCTCTGTCAAGAGCGTAATCAAGTAACATAAAGCTCAGATTGTTTTCAAGATACAAAAATTTACCTGAATGTTAACAAGTCCAGTGGGATGTCATGAGATCTTAAACTGTAAACTACCTCTGTCTTAATACGAAATTCCTTCTTTGGGATATTCATGACTGGTATTACAGCAACATTATCGAGTCCACGCATCTTGACATTAATATACTCCAATAATCCTTGGACCAGGGCGCATACAGCGGAATCCAAATCACATGTTTGATTTCCCAGGACAACACGAACCGTTTGATAAAGTGTTAATTGCAACTGTGATATAATAACTGTGATATAATAACAATAATAAATGAAAAGGAATTGAATTCAAAATAATAATAGATAACAAATTGTTACTAAAGCGGTTTTCGATGCATTAAGAAATGCTTCCATAGTTCCTTGCGTTTGCATCATTAATATATTTTCTTTCTTTTTTCTTTTTTTTCGATATTTATATATTTTTCATTGGTTTTTTTGTTTGCTACGCGCTGCCAGAAGATGACTTTTGTGTCAACCAGTCCAATTAGGTTATATAACACAAATCCTCATAATCTTAGTTCAACTCTTAAACATTTGTATTCTTATTTTGACTCTTTCAGTTCAAATGCTTTATGCATTGAATTTTTAGTTGTTTTAGCAAACAATAAAAAATTGCGATATATTTTTTATTGTTTTGATTCAGGTTAGTTTTGCAGCACATATAACGTACATGCGCGACTTGGTTCCGTATTGCTCCTAAAAGTAAGGACAAGAGTTTGCATATCGAATTAATTTGATTGCTGTTGTAATAAATAAAATCGTATCATAAACAGAACTAAATAAATATTGTGGAATATGCGCTCCACCAGAGGTATCATTCAAATGGCACAATCCTCGAAAGCGTACCTCCTAAATTTCCTCAAGACTGTGACAAGGGTACATTTTTTTCTTTCTATCTATAAATAAAATATTCATTATTTTAATTATTTTTGTCTTGAAGAATCTAAATGTTTTTATTTTAGGTAATTTGGTTTATAAGGAAAAGTGTGAAGATGCATTTTTATGCACTAGTTATTTCTTTCTTTGTAAAGTTTAACCTGTGTATTTCTTATTATTGACAATGTTACATGATTTAGATATTTTGTAATGCTTCAAATAATAATGTATTTATCATTATTATTTATATATTTTCTTTTTATAATTAGATCACACTATAAAATCATAATATAAAAAATTCATTATAAAGCATAGGACTAGCTTTAAAAAAAAATATACTATTATATTTTAGGCTGGAGATGCAAGAATCCCTAGATTTGTTGATATTCAAAATGATAATTCTTTTGGAAAATATGCCATAGTCCAACCTTGGCTAGTTTCTGAACAAGTTACTGTACCTGCATATATACCGCAACCATCTTATAGTCAATCGTCAATACCCAAAAATGGACCGACAATATCTGAGATCAAAGATAAAAATCAAATAGAATGTATGAGACAGAGTTGTAAGCTCGCTAGTCGCATTTTGCGTCAAGTTGATATATTAATTAAGGTGAATTATTTATCATGTATTGTATAAAAACTTATTATCTCAACTTTGTTACCAGACTTATTATCTTAACTTTATCGTAAATACATTTTTAAATGAAGAAAGATGTAATGAATCTGTAATTCTGTATATAGCTGAATACAATATCTAAAAGATATGTAATAAACTATAAGCATAAGTTTAATAGGTCGAAGTAAAAAGAGTTTTCCAACTGAAATAAATATTGTATATATATTCATTTATAAATTTATTATTAGTTTGTTGCGTATTTAAAATTAATAAATACAAATCAACATAATTCGACATTCCTAAGAATTATATATACATCTATAAAATCTTTATGTAAGTTTGAATTCATTAAAACAATTGATTTATCTTAGCCAGGCATTACAACCGATTTTCTTGATAAACAAGTACATGATATGATCATTGGCAATGGAGCTTATCCCAGTCCACTCAATTACCACGGTTTTCCCAAATCTATATGTACAAGTGTTAACAATGTTGCTTGTCATGGCATTCCAGACAATAGGCCCTTACAACAAGGCGATATAATTAACGTTGATATAACAGTGAGTAGCTTTGTCATTTATAAAAAACTTTTATAAAGTCATATTTCTTTCAGATAGTATAAGAAAATATTTAATTCTTTTGTTTAAGGTATATCTTAATGGTTATCATGGCGACTGCTCAACTATGTTTCAAGTAGGTGAAGTCGATTCAGAAGCCAAACGATTGATAGCAATCACGGAGTTGTGTTTAAAATCAGCTATTGAAATATGCAAACCGAATGAGCCTTTTTGCAATATTGGTAATAATACGTATATGACTTAAAAAAATCTATTAACATTTATATGGTGCTATTTTAGAGAGCTTTTTAATACTCTAAAATATTTTTATCTTTTTATATTGTTTATCAGGTAATGTGATAGAAGAGACTGCAAATAAACATAATTTGAATGTAATACCTGGGCTTTTGGGCCATGGTATTGGAACTTATTTTCACGGTGCTCCGGATATTTTTCATTTTGGTATAATGAAAATATTTCATTATTATTGACATTAACACTTATGACTAATAAGAATGATCTTATTCATTTTTTGTTGGATATAATTTAATTTTAAAATGAATTGTTACTAAATAAGTCAAATTGCATTATGCATACTGATCTGATTTTGACATCTATTTTTTACAGCAAATAATTTTCCTGAGAGAATGAAATCAGGTATGACATTTACTATCGAACCAGCATTAAGTCAAGGAACGATGCAGATAGAAATTCTAGAAGATGGATGGACAGCTTGCACCATCGATAATTCTAGGACAGCTCAAGTCGAACATACAGTTTTAATAACAGATACTGGGTGTGAAGTACTAACGCTTTAGTTTATCATTATTGTTATTCTGTAATTAGTTCTATCAATCATGCTATTTGTAAACAATATTTATATATATTATTAATGTACACATATGTTTTTGCGTTATTCCATTCTCGTAAAAATAAAAATTACATAAATTCGTAATATAATTCGTAATACATGGAGATTATTGATATGGTTATTATCAGAATATTTTCTTGTATTTTTGTACAAGTAATGCAAATTATAGACATATAATTTATGAATATCTTTTTTCAATTTATTTAATAAAAAGAGAAACAGATATATGCTATATTTTTTTTATTATAATTTATTTTAAAGGAATAAGAAAACATAATTTTTATAAAATTGCAGGACCCCAGTAACTGTCTAAAATTAGCGGTCCTTGTATTTCAACTCCTTCTTTCGTGACAATGCCAAGATGATACTAAAAAGCAAAGATTAATAATAAAATATTGATTATCGATTCCATATATGCAAATTTTAATAATTTACCTTTGGAAAAGATCTTGCATCTCTGTAAAAGAGGACTTGCATTACTTTGTACAGAAGTTGAATAGCTTCCTCCTTGCTCATTTGGTTGTTATCTTCATAAGCCTTTCTCAATATAGGTGTTGCCATATAAGCACCATATCCTGTTGCAATGACAGGATCATTATAAGCTGTCCCGAGTTTATCTACCGTTCCCAAAAATCTTAAAAAATAAGATCATAATTTAAGACAGTCCTTAAGATACAAATGTGAGATTAAGAAAATGTAAGACTTACGGTTCTCCATTTTCTAAACCAGCAATCACAAAATTGTTCCAAAATGGATCAAAATTTGATCGTCTATTGTACATGACACGTGTTAGCCAACAATGAAGTGCCTTTGGCTTTAAACTAAATCCATCATCTAAGCATTGTTCCTCCAAACTGAAACAAAAGCATCAACATAAAATGTGATTTAACATTCATTGAAAATTCTAATATATTTTTATTAAATTTATTAATATCCTTAGAACTAATATTAGAACTAATATATTTTTTCATATAATTCTTCAAAACTTTTTATTAGTATATTTTATTAGTAGATTTTATTCTACATAATAAACTAAATTATTATTTTCAAAATATTGAAGACATATAAAAAGGCTGATTAAGACTCACATTTTTCTTTCCATGTAGCTCTTGATACACTGAAAATCTGCATAATCTCCAGATGCACCAAGAATGATGTTATCATTAACTTTCATAATACGTTCTAGATTCCTGTAACGAGCAAGGGATCCATAAGATCCCAGAACGTCGGCCGCTATAATGACTCCGTCTTTGAATTGTACGCCAATAACAGATGTGCCAGTTGTTATTGGAGTCCTGCAAATAACAGGATAGAAATTGGAGAATCATCCGTCACACTTTTACGATATTTTTCAATGTTTATCTGATATAATGCAATTTCGATTATTTGAAATTTCCCCTCATCGATCTGCTCTGTACGAGAGATGACATGCGAGTTTTGGGATATGCAGGTTAGAAAGGTAGATACCTGAACGGACGAAATATTTGATTGATTACAATTAGATAATTAGACAATTAGACGTACTGTGACTTCTGGAATCCACCGGTTCTATATTGATTGCCTGGAAAGTGATAAAATGCACCAGGAGTCGGCCCATTGTGCCACAGAGGTGCAGCATCTTTACCCGTGAACGCCATTTTTGTGACTGCGTATATGATGTCACAGTATATACTGTGACGATGTATACTACTATCAAACTGATTCAGTTTGTTGATCGCTTGATCACTATTTCATTCCTCCTCTTCTCTTTTATATATATGTTATGACATGACATTTATGGCACCGAATTTTTTGATCTCATCATTTTCGATTAATTTTATCGATATATTATCAAAGTAATATAATTAGTTTTCAATTTGCAATTAATAATTCTTAAATTAAATTGATCGATAAAATTATTCGAAAAATGATGAAAATGATTCTTTAAAGAAAAATAAAATCCATAAAAATTTAGAAAATAAAATCCATTTTGGCTAATTTTTTACATCATTATATGAAATTCTAATTCTGCCTTTTATTCTTATTTATATTTTTCCTGTTTTTTTCTTTTTTTTTCTTTCTTTTTCTTTCTTTTTTACATTTCAAATATCAAAATATAAAAACATACAAATATAAAAATACAGTTGTGAAAAACTTCAAAAAGTACGCTGTATTAAAAATTATAATAATTTTCTCGACTCAAAAACCTTTTGAAAATCAAATTCAATGGCAAGTTGTTTTGCAAGCTGTCCGCGTAATTTTGTATTAAAGTATTAATATTATTTTTTAATATTTTTTATAATTTAATATTATTATTATATTAATATTATTTTCCATTAAAAATGAAGGCATTAAATAAATTGTAATCAAATTGTCTGGTTTTTAACATTTACTAACACATCCTGAATTTCCTTCATCATATGACAATTATGATCAAGTTCATATCAATAGCTTTGATATGTCGAGAATCACCGTCCTTTGATAAATTTTGTATCAGTAATGAACGCGCTGCGATGGATCGTAGGAATGCATTCGGATTGCTCCGTATTTTTCCCAATTGTTATTCAAAAATGAATCTTATATGCAAAAAGAATATCGTTTGTAAGACGGCTTTTTTTGCAAAATGTAAACATTATACACAATTGCATATCAATATCGGTGATATCGATATTGATTATCCACTTTTGTATGCATTCCGGATATAATCAAAGCAATCTTGATTGTTTCAAGTCACTTCTATGTCAAAGCATATCGATTATTGTTAGATTATTGTTACGTGTATATACGTTATATGGCATTTCTCTATAATTAATTATATCGGTTATGCGCACACCTGTTGCAATACTTGAATTGTGATAGATAGATAGAGATTGCTATATTCTAATTATTGTTCATGTTTATAAAATTCACTTTCGACTATAATTCTATAATTCTATATAATTATTTATAATTTCAAATGATCTATAATTCTATAAATGTTATAACTTGTGATCTCAAACAATCTTAATAACTTTATCAACTTGCAATTTATCTCGTACGATTTATGATAGAATAAAAATTATACAATGATTTGATGAAATAACTGTAGATAATTTATATAAAAATTATAATAATTTATAATTGTTTATGTCTTTATATTTTTATGTTTGTTATTTTATTATTTGTTGTGTGTGTGTGTGTGTGTGTGTGTGTGTGTGTGTGTGTG